TTTAATACAAAGCTTATCAAAATTTAGGTGTTACATATGATAATATACTTGTGAGACCAAATGTATGATGCATCAGTCTTTAATAGACAAATAATTTTAACACAATTTTTCAAACCCGACCACCGCCCAGTTATTAACTGTGTATTCAATTTAAAAAAAAAAAAATTAAAATTATATATATTCTATATTTATTTTTTAAATATACATAAAATAACAAAAATAAAAGAAATCGAACGTAAATTTTATACCTTAAAATAGTAATAATAATATATATTATATTAAATATTTACCACTCAAAGATATGCACATAATGTTATTTTTAAAATAAAAAATGATTTGAAAGAAAAGGAATTAAAATTGTCAGGCCGACCGGGTAAAGATAGGTTCAAAGCATGGTCTACCATATTTTGACCAAACTTGATCGGATCAGGCCCGACTTAAGGTTTAGGACTGCAAACGAAACGAGCCGAGTCTAGAATTGACCTTATCGAGTAAGATTGATTTTTTTTTTTTTACCTACTCGAGCTCGATATATGACACTTGAGATCGACTCGACAAAAGAAGACAATCGCTTGAGCTCGGCTCGAGATCGATTGTAATCAAAATGCTCGAAAGATTGTTTGAGCTCGGCTCGAGTTCGACTCAAATTTTAAGTAACATTACTGTTAAATATATATATATATATATATATATTAAAATATCGTAATTTTTATATATGTGGTATTTTAGTAATTCACTACATATCTCGAGTCGCTCGCGAGCAACTCGATCTTCTAAAACCTATGCTCGAGATCAATTCGATAACATCTCGAGCTCGGTTAAAGTTCGATTAAACTCAAACTCGAGCGGCTCGCGAGCCGCACGATTCATTTACAACCCTATCAAGGTTTATCCATGGTAAAGAAATAAATAATAAAAAAGAAAAAGACTTAATAGTGTGTGTGAAAACTATTGGGATATAATTTGCTACTTACAAACCCAAGGACCCAAAAAAAATCCTTAATACATTTTTTTTTTAAAAAAAAATTCCCATGATATGTTAGTTTGCGAGTCCAATCACCACTAACTATTCTTTGGCTCTACTCTTTCTTAATCACCTAGGGACAAAGAGAGGTGGAAAATCCAACACACAATTACTAATTGAAATAGATGAAGGAGATTGGAGATAAGCATTCCTTGACTATATCAATTACGTTAAGTAATAATTCAGCCTTTCTTGAAAAAGAACAAACACTACAAACTCATTGATAAGGACTCCAAAAACTGCATATATTGTTGTATTCCTCCCAAGTGTTTATGCCTTTTGTTATTTGATTGAATGAGCATGTTTGTATAGAATTATGAATTTTCATTTCCATGTTGATTGTGTATGAAATGTTTGTTACACCTATTTTTAGATTAAATATGCGAAATTGATTGGGTCCTTATGTTATTTAGCCAAAGTAAGTAATCAAATTATTGTATAGATATATTGGCTAAGGAATTTAATTTAAATTGTGTAATGATTAAATGTGGATACTAATATTATTTGATGACGTAACAAATAATAATATTAACAAATAATTAACCTAATTAACAAAATAATTTGAGTCAAAATTAATAATTTGTTCTCCCAAAAATCATGATAAATAAACGGGCCTAGGAATCCTTCATTAAAAAATAAGTAGATAAACCAAACTCTCTCTCTACCTGCCTACGGTTTCTTTCCAACACAATCAATCGGACATGAATCCATCAGATACGTTTCTGCTAATTCAGTTAGGATTCTCAATTATTCGATATAAATTAATGCTCCTTGGATAAGCGATGTTCTTAGCATAAGGTTAAATTTCATCAATGTTGATCTCGTGTAACATTAGTAAATAGATAAAATCGATGACCACAATAATTAAATAAGATGGCAAAATATGAGAACTTCAATGAAACTTTTTAAACCCAAGTACTTATAAAATAGATTTTTTTTTAAAAAAAAAAAATGAATTGAACACGACCCACAACATCGAATTAGCTACAAAATAATAATAATAAATAAATAAATCATGCATATGTTTATACTTTCAACTTGAAAGTTGAAATGTTGGTTTACAAGTACTTACTAAAAGTCCAATAATTATGAGTCAAGAAAGCATGGTGGTATGTATACTAGGTTGCTCCTTGATCCAAGAACTAGTCAATGATTGAGCTTGGCCAAGGGACATTATCTGACAATGCAATTTGATTTCTTGCATTATCTTCAACTTTCTGAATTGATTATATCCAAATTTATATGAGAAATAGATTGATTTTCACTATGATCATGGCATGTAGGTTAAAGACATTTAAACAATTAATGTTTCTACTAACATTGTTCCTTTAAAGAGGCATACAAGGAATTACTAATGAAAAATCCAAAAAGATAAAGTAACTATTTGTTTAATTGAATCTTTATGTAACTCAGAAAATAGAGTTAAAAATTAAGCAAATAAACGCATCATTAGTCTAATCCATGTTGCTGGTAGAGTTTTCAGACAAAAGTATCGGCATTTTAACACAGCTTAACTCAACTCGCTAAGATTCAATTTTGGTTTGGCTCGTTTAGAGATCAAGCTCATTAAGGCTTATAAATGTAATTTTATATGTAGTATTGTAAGGTCGAACTGATCAGACAACGACGTGCAACTTAGATGA